AGTGTACATTGAAATGCTAAACTTTAGAGTGATATTTTAAAAAGACGGATGTTGCTTCGTAGTATAAATAACATTTAGCTTGAATAGATTTTTCCAGGCAATACTGCTGCTAACAATTTAGGGGGAGAGAGGTAGAGCTTGATCATTACTTGTACCTTTTCATTTCATAGGCCATCAAAGTGCTGTGGAAATATATACACACATGCGTGTGCACCCTCCCCCCAGCCCCATAAACTTCCATCAACAAAACTGAATTCTATATCCAGAATCATTTAATTAGACTGAGTCATGCATGTATCTAATTCTTTCCCTAGTTCCTTTGTATAACTATACAAAATAACACCTAAAATCTGGAAAATTGCTGTGTATTCTTTTACTCTCTAGATCAGTCGCTCTCAACCTTTTCAGACTACTGTACCCCTTTCAGGAGTCTGATTTGTCTTGCATACCCCAAGTTTCATCTCACTTAAAAACTACTTGCTTACAAAATCAGACATAAAAATACAAAAGTGTCACAGCACACTATTACTGACAAATTGCTTACTTTCTCATTTTGACCATTAAATTATAAAATAAATCAATAAGAATATAAATATTGTACTTACATTTCAGTGTATTGTGTGTGTGTATGTGTGTATATATATAGCAGTATAAACAAGTTGTATGAAATTTTAGCTTGTACTGACTTCGCCAGCGCTTTTTATGTAGCGTGTTGTAAAACTAGGCAAATATATAGATGAGTTGCTGTACCCCCGGAAGACCTTGGAGTACTCCCGGGGGTATGTATATCCCTGATTGAGAACCACTGCTCTAGATTACTCTTTTACCTGCTAGCGTAACTCAGTCCGTCAGATAGCTTTAACAAAGTAAATATACTTGCTTCCAATTTAATCACCTTACAGGTTGTATGTATGGGGTGGGGGAAGAAGAAGAGTGCCCTCTGAGGCAAGATCACAACTTCTGATTTTTGTTATTCCTAAAAACTGTTATCAGATTGTATTTCATACAACGCATTTCTAATTCTGATATCTGACAGTCTTTTAAAATGGTCTGTTGTGAACAATACATGGAAGGGCTGTAAAAGTTCTGTGTAAATGTTTAACGTCTAAATATCTAGCAGTTTCAGGTGCCTTTATTGATAATACAAAATTAATACACCTCTGGCATATTTCTTAAGTGTCCTGGTGCATAATGTGGCATATTTCTCGTAGTTATTTTGCTCAACACTTGATAGGTGTAACAGCACCGATTAGAAAGAGACATGGGGCATAAACAAACTCTTGATTAAACAAACTATGATTGAGACACTAAAATCTTGTAAATATTCTGTTTTTGTCATAGAGTCTATAGTGAAATGGAATGATGCAACAGGCCTGGGAATGTTGTTAATTAGCTTTGTCTTTTTTTTTTTCCCCCCCATCCCTCTTCCCTTATTTTTAGAATGTATGTTTTTGGTGGATGGGTTCCACAGACAGTGGAGGATGAGATTTCTGCTCGTGATGGTGAATGGAAGTGTACCAGTTCATTTTCTTATCTAAATTTGGGTTAGTGTTTCTGCCCTTCTTGATGATGATGATGATAAATTGAACACTTGTTTTAACAGATGTAAACCTATGAGTAAAGTAGTAAAAAAAAAATTCTTAGGTGACTTTAGAACTAGACACGAGTTTCCTTTTAGTTATGCACACTAAACTACCTTAGGACCCATACCTTTTTACTCTACATTTCCACATGATGCAACCAAAGATCAGGAAAATGGCTTCTACAAATTTGTCTCCTGGCAAAAAAAAATGTAATTGATCATATATGATACAAATCAGTGTGAGTGTGGGCTCAAATGACTTGCCTGCAATGTAGATGATATCTGGTTTAACTTCAGAGGTTAGAGAATATTGGAAACATTAATGATTCAAATGAGTAAATATAAACCTATGTATATTCTCACAGATGATCACTTTCCCTTTGACTAGTTAGGTGGATTATTATCTGTATTCCTTGTTTTGAAAGCACTTATTGAATGGTACTGATTATTTCAAGTTTCATTTACTAGATACCACGGAATGGATAGGTCTAATCTCAGATTGTCAGGAAGACAAAAAGAACTTGTTACCCGGGCCAAGAGCTGGACACTGTGCTGTGGCAGTCGGCACTCGTCTGTACATCTGGAGTGGTAGAGATGGTTACAGAAAAGCTTGGAACAATCAAGTTTGCTGCAAAGATCTTTGGTATTTAGATACAGGTGTGTAAGAACATAATAAAAGTACTATAATCTGTTGTACATCTTACTACAATAGAAACTTGGCATCATACCTGCTCAGAAGTTTTAGTCTATAGCAAATTCAGTGAACTTTTAAATCTCAGATTTTTCTAGTAAAATATTGCTTCAGTGTTGATGCATTTAAAGATTATTGTTATGGCTTTCTGCTAAAAACAATGATCTATTTCACAGGCCTCAAATTCCACAGGCCTGCAAAGAGGTTTTATGAGGCTAAATTCAGTAAAACACCTCTAAGATTCTTGAGTACAAGATGCTGAGGGCATATTATCTAAACATTTGTAATTTTTTTTTCCTGATGTGCTCTTTACATTTGCCTTAATTTCACTTTATTGTTGCTCCTACTGCTTTCACCACGCTAAACAATTGCTATATTTGGTGTTTGCACAATTCAGGTACTTGTAAAAGGTTGTGTTCCACTCTTAGTTGCTTAATGAAACTATAATATTCTCACGTTTTCTCATAGGTCGTCTTCTGCTGCTTAGCCATTTTTGTTGAATTCTGTCCAATTGCATTCAGTGCTAGAGATACTTAGACCAGTCTTCTGGGTGCATCCTCAATAAAGCTGTCTAGGGAGCCTCTGTTCTCCGTGATCTTTGAAGTGATGCCTCTGCATATGCAGCATAAAACCTCATTGGTTTTTCTGCTGCCAAATAAGTAAGAAAAGGCATGAGACTTGAAAAAATGTGCCTTGTATGACACTCGAGAGAGACAATTTAGTGTTTTCTGGCTTTATTTTATAACCAGTTTGAAAAATGCTTTTTGTCACGTGGCCTATGCCATATGTATTTGGAGATATGAGAACCGTTGATGTACTGTCATTACGCAAATATCATTTGAACTGCAATGAAAGAACAACTTTAAATATTCCAATTGTATTTAATTGGTATCTTTTAGAGAAACCACCAGCACCATCACAGGTACAGCTGATCAGAGCTACAACTAATTCTTTTCAAGTAAAATGGGATGAAGTTCCTACAGTTGAAGGATATCTTCTTCAGTTAAATGCTGACTCCCCAGCGCCTACGGTGACTGGTGGAACTGTGGTTCCTGAGTCTGCACTGCTGAATTCACAAGGTAATACTGCAATATTTCCCTTAGATGAAACTACATTTCTACAAAGGTTCCTGTAGATACCTTAATTTTAAAATGGATAGTTAAATATGTAAGATAAAGACCCAGATCCTTGGCTATGCCTAGGGAGTGCACACACTGCAACTCAAGAGTTGAAAATCTGGTTGTAAACTGCCCTTGTGCTTCCTGACCCTGAGTTGGCTGAATGGTGGAGTGGTTCCTTGATGTAAGCTAGAACTTCATGAGCCTGGAAGTGCCTTACAGAGTCAAACTTTTGATATGAGGCCAGAAAATACAATGCTCAGAATGGATTTTGTACTTTGTTATATGATATCCTGAAATCTAGCTGCGACTTTGGCCAGTACGTGAAGTAGTGGGGAATGAGTTCAAAGGTAAGTTTAACATCCTATTTGTATGTGACTTGAAGGAGAAGGTAGTGGGAAAAGGATTTCCATTGATTTTGTTTGCTCTTACAGTTTCATTTCAGACTTAGTGCTACTGTAACTAGAAACAGGGATTTTGACAGTAAGACAAAGGGCCTGATTCTCATTTATACAAAAGCGCCTTCATACTGCTCTGGCGCTTGCTCACTGGGATAAAATAGACTCCATATAAAGCATTTTAATGCTTCATAGAATCAATGGGTGTTTGTTTTTGTTTACCTGTAAGGTGGTTCTACTCAACAGCAAAGTCTATAATCAATGACTATCATCCTTCCTCCAGGAATCAAGCTGGATCTTCACAGCCAAACAAATCACATGGTTCCTAATCATGTAAGTGTAAACTGAAGATTCTCAAATCAGGACAATGTTTTAATGATGGTCTCGCTTCCCACCCTAATTTGCCAATTTTAAAAAAGTCTGAAATATTTTTAAGCTTAAAAATGTACTGCTTAATTACATTACTTTTGTTCTAATGATGCTACCTCACTTCCTGATTGAATGGAGCGTCTTGAAAAGCCATTGCTGATGATACAAGAGGGAAGCTGCAGTTGCACTGAGTACTTTATGGTAGTTGGGAGCCTGATCTCAAGAAGAAAATCTCCTTCGTCATCAAAGTCCCAGCAAAATGGGTACAGGGAGGCAGAGAGGATATGCTACTTTATTAGAGCCTTGGTGAAATTCCTTTCTTTGTAGCAGGCTCCTAATATGGTGTTTGGAAGCCTGTCAGTAGCAGCTGGCTCCTAATATGGCCGTTGGAAATCTGTGAAAAGCAGTGTGTGTACAGCTGACTTCCCTTCTGCCCTGTTAACAGTAAAAGAAGGGTCATTAAAAGAGAGATTCTGGTTAAAAAGACTTAAACTTTCAAAAATCTAGATTAGGTCATAAATGTTTAAGGCCTCTTAAAACAGGCAAACTTGTGTGGAATCAAAAATTGAAGACACTTAAAGACTACAACTTGTTCCTCAAGACTAATTGGGGATCTTAATGAAATACAAGTTTTCTTTAATACTATAGTTTCCTGCAGGAAGTCTGTTGGTATGAGTATGGAAGTGGGATTTCTAATAAAATTTCTTAATCTTTTTTGGAATATAGTTGAGCCTACGTAATTGTACTTTATGTGATTATTTGCAAATAAACTAAATGTTACTGATAACTTTTAATGTGCACTTCCATTTAAGAATATCAGCGGTTTCCAAAACAGAGCTTTGAATGTTACAAGGACACTATCAGATCAAATTTAGAATTAATGAAAAGCTTGTTTTACAAGTTTAGTTACTTCCATCTTTATTTGAAATTCCAGTGGAAAGGTTTTATGAACAAACATGTCCTTGCAATGTTTGCAGCTCAAATTGTAAACTTTAACAATTGTTGTAAACAAACAATTGTTTTCTTTTTGGCTAGGTACAAGTTAGATCTAATTCACTACTAAAACTAGAAGCTAAAGAAAATATAACTGAACCTGAAAACATTGTTACACAAGAAGCTACAAAGAAAAACCATCTAGATTCTAGAGGATTCAAAGAGTCAAATGCCCCCTCGCTTTTGCCAGCGTGCACCTTAGGTAAGAGTTTATTCAGTAGAGACTAAAGAAAAGTTGGAGTTAAAATCTTGCAAATACAGCAAAGCTAGAATATTTGTGTGTTTTTAAAATTAAGTCTTTCATGAAGTATTTATTACTGTACATATTTATAACAGTGGGGAAAGATGAAACCATAATTTGTCCCTAGTTTATTGTGCTTTAAGCAAAATAAAGTGTTTAGTTCTGTCCCTATAATGACAAATACTGGCTATAAACAGCTCTCTACGAGAGAGATCTGTTGCTACAGGTTGAAAATTGGCATGCCAAAGTATCAACCCAGAAACTAACTTCTACAGTTTATAATATTCCTGGTCACTTAAATTGCATGCACTGGCAAAAATTTAGGATTTCAAGGTTGCAGATGTTTTTGCTACTAGGAATTGCTTTCTGATCAATGTTAAAATGTTTACCTCCCAGATTTAATGCTTAGCAGAATAACAGAATTTAATCAGATGGGCCTATTTTATCAATCAAGAAACTAAGAAGCATCTCACGTACCTGTCTGTAGTTAGGTATTTTTGTGTTTTGTGTAAATATATCAACTGGTATGGGGGGAGAAATTGATATTAATTAAATAACACCAAAGTTGGTGTCTGGCAAGGATCTTACCAGAGTCATTCTAGTGTGAATCTGGCTAGCATCAATTCTTATAGCAGACTAAAAAACAACTAGATTAGGCTGATATTTATCAATTGACATCAATATTGAAGTTGAATTAATATTTTCCATATTGCAGGTCCTCAGACTTCAGCAAATGTAGCTGAATTACATGACTTGGACATACGAACTGTAAATCCTGATGCTTCTGTATCCAGTACTGTCTCCAGCACACAAACTATGGTAACCCAGCAGGCTGTTAAAACTGAGTCATCAAGTACAAATGGGGCAGTTGTTAAAGATGAAACTTCACTAACAACATTCAGTTCAAAATCTGAAGGTTTGAAATGTGTTTCACATACTGTATTTTGAGCCATATTTATCTAAGGCCATCCAACTTCTAGAGTGGTGGGAAATTTGTCATCTTTGAATAGTGGCTAGAATTGAAATAATGGTTCGGGCATTGATGATATTGGACAAGCTGAAAGATCTCTGCCCTGGTCTTACTTTAAAATGAGGATAATCCTTAAACACCTTTGTAAACCATTTTGATTTGTGTGGGTGAAAAGTGCTACAGATGTTCATTATAAGTTGACAAAAATCCACGTTTTAGATAATGGTAGCCACCAATTAACCAAATTTATTATTTTAGACCGACCACCTCATAATGTATGATTGAAATGTCTGAAATGAGCAGGTTATGTAAACTCAATATATAAACAATGCCAATACAAAATTTCTTGATGGAAGCAAATATGCAATATTTGCCATCACCTGGGAGCAGTAACTACTGGTTGACCTTCTCCTGGTGATGTCTTGCATACACAAGCCTATTCTAAAAATTTGACACGTAAGCACAGAATACAAATGAAATGATTAGATTTGTCTGAATCTTAAATAAAATTATTATATAATGTAGTGAATTAGGGTTTTTTTCTCTTCCAAGTGGTGGATTATTTTAAAAATGTATTTTCTGTATTCCTTGTTTAGAGTTCACATGATCTGTACTGATATGCATGAGTAAGGCTCAGGTTATGTGACTTTCAGAGACTTCCATGACATTTTCCACTTCAGCCCCGGGGCGACGGCTGGAGCTGTCAGCCGGTGGGGGGACTCTAGCACTCTCAACCAGCCTGGGGCATCCCTGGTGCTCTCAGGAGCAGCGGGGGGGACCCTGGAGCCGCAGCAGCTGTGGGTGCTGGACCTCCCTCCCTCCCCATTTTGTCACGGTTATTTTTAGTAAAAAGTCAGGGACGGGTTACGGGCTTCCATGAATTTTTATTGCCCATGACCTGTCCGTGACTTTTTACTAAAAATAACCATGACAAAATCTTAGCCTTATGCATGAGCAATACATTTAAAAGTATTCATTGCCTAGGTTTAAAATTTAGGTTGTTCATACTGGGTAGGCAATTTCTGCCCCAGTCTGATTTGTTTGTGTACAGTCCAATACTGATGTAAACAGAATTTATATACTACTTTAGGCCATAACTATTAATAATGCCACTGCCTTAGAATTGTGTAGGTCTAGTCTCCTGTTGATGCTACCATTTTAACTGCAATGGCATGCAACGCCAGACACTCTTAAGAGTTGTTCTGTAAATTTAAAACCAGCAGTTAGTTTAAAAAAGCTATTAAAATTGTCAGGTTGTAAATAGCACTGCATGTAAAACTTACCAAACTATGTCTTAAATACTGAAGAGACTTTTGCAAGAGACACTTCTCACTGAAATCCATTTACAAATTTTATAAGCTATGAAGTTTGTCTTTACATGTCAATTGTTTTATGTGAACTAATGTTTTTAATATAATTCTT